CCACTCACGCCTAACCTAAATTAGGCATGACTCGTTGATGTTGACATGTGATACAAAAAATTTATAATTTAACTATAAAATTTATACTTTTGTATAATCAATACTGATTTAATATTGTTAGTTAACTAAATTGGTTCATAATTGGATACTTAAATTACTGATTTAGTATTGTTAGTTAACTAAATTGGTTCATAATTGGATACTTAAATTTCAATAGACTTAGATAGAATTAGGAAATGATTAAAGAGACTTACTTATATATATATATATATATATATATATAACTTATCGTTTATCAAGTTACTTGAGATAATTTTATCTCCGGCTTCAAAGCACACATTGCTTTTTAGAAGTTGAAACAACCCAAAATGTGTGACATTTTTCCCAAAAAAAATAAATTACATAGCTCTTGAAGTGAAACTCAAATGAAAAAAGAAACAATCTTACGTTAAATTTGTTGAAGGATTGCATATTAAATAATACAGTATTTAATACATTTTAGGGATAGGATATTGTGACACCCAAGTTGTGTTACACCCATATGACACCCAGTCAATCTCACCGTTAGATCGCTTATGTTGATCCAACGGTTATATTTATTTCCATCTTTGTATGGTCATGATTTCCCAAATTTAATATTTTATATTTATTTCTACCATTGTATGGTTATGATTTCCCATATTTAATGATTTCATAACCATACAAAGGTAGAAATAAATATAAAATATTAAATTTGGAAAATCATGATCATACAAAGATGGAAATAAATATAACCGTTGGATCAACATAAGCGATCTAACGGTGAGATTGGATATGAGTGGATCATTTTATACCAGTATAAGTTACACTCTTAATCTTGTCCGTTAATCCCACTTATATCTAAGGGCTCAAATTTTTTAGTAATGTGAGCCATTGGATATGAGTGGATCAACGGTCAAGATTGAGTGTAAGACTTCTAACTCTTACATCGGTGTAAGAATATCCTGCTCCTATATATATATATATATATATATATATATATATATATATATATATATATATATGGAGAGATCTTTTGACTCTAGTGTAAGATTTACAACTCTTACTCTTCATCTCAACCGTTGATTTTTGTCCATCTAACTGTTATTATTTATTTGAAATAAATAAATAATTAATTGTTATAGATAACCGTTAGATGGACGGAAATCAACGGTTGAGATTAGGAGTAAGAGTTGTAAGTCTTACTCTAGAGTCAAAAGATCACTCCATATATATATATATATATGGACTTATCGTGTCTCAAGTTGCTTGAGATAACTTTATCTCCTGTTACTAAATCATAATCGTACAAAGATGGATCAATGATGATAAAGGAAAAGAGAGAAAAGGGGAATCATAAACATTCAAAGGTGAATCAATTAATATAAGGAAATAAATAAACAAAATGACGTAGTTATGGAATGGTCGGAGATAAACTTATCTCGAGTTGCCGGAGAAGTATATATATATATACACACATATATATATATATATGGAAAAACTTCAAAAATTCCCCTATAAGTTTCTTTAGAATCACTTACCCCTCCCTAAAATTTTTAATCATTTACACCCCTATTTAAAACTTTTTTATCACTTACCCCCTAACTTGATTTTCCATCCAAAGTTAAAGTTAACAGAGTTAGTCTTTTTATAAAATACCAAAACTACCCTTAAAACAAAAAAAATTAAACTTGACACCTTATTGTTGACATCAGTTCATCCTCTTTGTCGCCTTCTTCAAGCAGGTTTGCCGAAGATGACCTGAAATCGCCTATGACAGGGAGACTGAGGGCATTGAAGAGGCTTTTAAGAAGGGACAATTGTTTGAAGTGTCTATATTGTATAAATTATAGGTTTTGTTGTAGTAATAAACTAGAATAACCAACTTTCTTTTATTGAAGATGAATTTTATTATATTGTTTTAATTTTGATCTTTATTTGCAATTAGCTTGACCCGATAATATTAGTTAATGGTGAAGTGAAAAGAATACAATATGTGATCGAATATTCTCACCACTGTATGCCATCACTAATCTGCAGAGAGTTTTATTGTAACAAGAAAAGAAAATGTGTTATCTCTTGCTAGCAATAAGGTATCAAGTTTAATTCTTTTTTTTTTAGGGTAGTTTTGGTAATTTTTTAAAAAGACTAACTCTATTAACTTTAACTTTGGATGGAAAATCAAGTTAGGGGGGTAAGTGATAAAAAAGTTTTAAGTAGGGGTGAAGTTTGACTCAATAGATTATAACCGTTGATGGACGGAAATCAACGGTTAGGATCTAAAAAAATATAAGCTTATATCCTTTAAAAGGATATATGCTTTTCTATATATATATATATACATATATATATATATGTATATATATATATATATATATATATATGGGGGCTTATCGTTTCTCAAACTGCTTGAATATCTTATGAATAGATCCTAAATCATGTTGATTGATCTATTACCTAATGTAACCGATGTTTTCGATGTTAATTCAATAAGAACGTGAGTTTCAGAGTAACATTCAACCTAAATGTGTTTCAAAACCAAATTTAGTGACCGACTTTGATAAATGTACATGCATCCTTAAACCTTGCGGCATCTAGATAGCCTATCTTTTATATGTAAATTCCAACTTCATTGTAAATTTAGAATCTACATCCTGAAAAAAAATTCGTTATCATCTAAGATCTAATTCTTGTACTACTAAATAAAGCTATTTTTTATTTTTATTGATTCTATTATGCCAAAAGGAAAAAAAATTCTCATATTATCCTCAAAAAAATTTAGTTTTCCTTTATTAGTTCATAAGATTGAAAGACAATACTAAAGATTCCACCACTTGATACACATTATGATACATTTGGAATGGTTATGAATATTATGTATCTTATGCTTCAAGTGTTTGTTATATGCATTTTATTCTAGTCATATATTTCATTTGATATTTTAGGACCAAAGCACATTATTTGTGATACTTCTAATTCCTTACTTTTTTTTATATCTTTTGGTCATGAATTTAATTGTAGCTGATTCATGCATTTTTTATTGCTCAATGTTATATTAGGCTTTTGATATTATTACCTGTCAATCATTTCGAATACAGTCATACTTGTATAACATAAATTATTCACCTATTTATACTTTGTCTAGAGATTTGGGAAACCTATGGACCATATAGCTTAATATAATTTATATCTTATAGGTTTTGTGACTATGTACCACATAATTTTAAGTTATACTGTTAAGATAATTTTATATCACTTATGTTCATAAATATTAGTCTTGATCTCATTTATTCTTACCATATAAACCCAGAAAAAGAACAAGAAGAAAAATGAAGAAGCTTTCGGGTTTCTTTATTACTCATCAAAAAGATTCAGAGAGAAAACAATGTTTAAGTATAAAAGTCAAGACTAAAAACTAAAAGCTAAAGTTCATAAAAGTAAACTTACAATCAGTCCATAAAATTAACTATGGTTACACTAACTATGGTTACAATAACACAAACTAGAGTAAACTAAAAATAAAAGTTATTTTTATACTTATTACTCCCCCTCAAGATGAGTTGTGGATGTCCAACACTGCCATCTTGGACAATAGAGTGAACAAGGCAGAAGCTAACAAAGCCTTTTTCAAAGATATGCAAGCTGGTCATGTGATTTTATAGGCATCAAACGATTCAGCCCATAAGACACTTTATCTCTAACAAAGTGGCAAATGGCAATCAATCTCTATGTGTTTAGTCCTCTCATGGAAGGTGGGATTTGAGGCAATATGAATAGCATCCTGATTGTCACAAAAAATAGAGCACAAGAGAAATCAACAAAGCCAAGATCAGTTAATAATTGAGATATTCAACTTAATTTAGTAGCAGTGGTTGCCATTGCCCTGTACTCGTCTTCAACGAAGCTTCTAGAGACTGTTGTTTGCTTTTTAACCTTCCACGATATTAAGGAATCTCTAAGAAAATGAAAAAAGCAGTGACTGATCTTCTGGTGTCAAGATATCCTCCTCAATATACATCACTGAATGCTTTAAAGTGGAGAGGAGGAGAAGCAGGAAACAACAAACCTTGACCTGGATGGCTTTTAAGGTATCTAAGGAAGTTATGAACAACATTAAGGTAAGGAGTTCTAGGCTATGAAACAAATTGACTTAACATGTAATGTCAGGTCTAGTTAATGTCAAATAAAGAAGTCTTCCAACTAAAATCCTATACTGACTAGAGTTTTAGAGAGGCTGTCCATCTACATTGTAAAAAGCAAGCTTCGGGTCCATTGGGACAACATTGAGTTTTGAAGCTAAAAAACCAGTATCATCAAGTAATTGCAAGATATAATGCCTTTGAGATAATATTATACCTTTCTTAGCATGAGAAACTTCCAATCCCAAAAAATACTTTAGTTGCCCAAGGTCTTTAAGCTTGAATTGGGACTGGAAAAATGATCTAACATTGCCAATTGCATCAAGAGAAGGTCCACCAAGAATTATGTCATCTACATATACCAAGAGCACAATAAAGTTAGATCTCGAACCTTTAGTAAAGAAGGAATAATCACATTTTGATTGTGAGAAACCAAACTTGATGAAAGCTCTAGACAGTGGCGGAGCCAGAATTTTAGTTTAGCCCATGCCAAAAAATTTGGCATATCAAATTATCAAAATATTTATCGTAAATACACAAATTTATTAGGAAAAAATTTACTATGAATTCTAGCATACTTATCTAAGTTATTTACTAAATAATGCCACAAAGTATTGAAAATTGAAATGAACAATTGTTAATGATCATATATCAAAACAAACATATAAAACGGCACTAACCTTTCTGATAAGCATTCCAAACATAAGAATCTCACTTGCTTCGCGCAGCATAATAAGTAATGAACCAAGCATTGTCCTAAGATATGAATACACATAAATATAATAATTATATGTATAACAACATTTAATAAAAAAATTTAAAATATAATAAAGAATTACATACCTAAAATTGTAAACGACGCTCTTTTAGATTGACGAAATCTTCAAGGATAGAATCTGTAGTAAAAGTTTCAGCAATCTCTCTTTCAATATACACAATTAAATTATTTGCAAGAAAGTCATCCTCCATTTTGTTTCGAAGTCTTGTTTTCACAATTTTCATTGCTGAGAATGCACGTTCACCACTTGCTGTTGAAACTGGTAGTGTTAAGATAAGACGAATTAACCTATCAACCAAATGATAGGAATTTGACTTTCCTGTCTGAGCTAATCCTTGACACAACTCAGAAATTGAAGATAAATTTTGAAGTTTTGGATGTTTTGGGATGTCCTTGTGGAAATGCTTCAATTGACAATTCAAAATAATTCTCTCTTGCTCGGAAAAATCAAGAGGATAGTCTTTCTCTGCAAGGCTACAAATATCATCAACATTGAATGCTTTGTAACCATTCTTCGGATCTAATGAAGAGCTAAGTGATAAAAGTTCTGTTGTTTGCTCGTTAAACCTTCTATTTAACTCTTGTAACTGAAAGTCAATGGTTGAATTAAAAATATCAAAATGATAGTGATGCTCAATAGTTATTTGTTCATGTTGTCGATGGCCACAACCTTCAATATATTGAGCATCAAAATCTGGAACATCTATCTCATGAAGCTTGGAGAAATTGACAACACTTTCAAGTATTCTTTTCCAACCACCATCTCGTAATTCTTGAATAAGTTCCTTTGTACTTGAAACTAAATGTATAGCATTCAAAATATCTTGAGCTTTTTGTTGTAAGGCTTGACAAAGAATTTCAGTGATGCCCATGATCTTCTTCATCAAAAGTAAATTAAATATAAACTCAAAAGAAGTGATCATCTTATAAGCTGCTATAGCATCCCCTCTTTGAGAGTAATTTGAGCCTTCATTGCGATTTTTTTCAAGTACTGAACATGATTCATTATACCCTCATTGAAGACTGCATATAGATTAAAAATGAGAACCCCATCTTGTATCACTAGCCCTCTTTAGTGTGCCTACTTGGTTAGAACCTGTACCAGTTTCAAGCTCGCCAATAGCTTGCAAATGTTCAAATTCAAAAATTTGGGCAGCTTGGAATTGATCATGACGTTTAGAAGAAGCAGTGACAATATTAATGATGAAATTCAAATTCTGGAAGAATTGATAAATAGAAGAAACTTCCTTAGAGGCAGCAATCAAGGCTAATTGTAATCGATGGGCAAAACAATGCACATAATAAGCACAAGGACATTCATTAAGAAATAATGCTTGCAATCCATTCCATTCACCACGCATGTTACTAGCACCATCATATCCTTGGCCACAAATATTTTGGATATCAAGGCAATGATGTGAGAGTATGTCACTAATAGCATTTTTAAGTGTCATAGAAGATGTATCTTGAACGTGATAAAGATCAAAACATCTCTCTTTTATAAAACCATCTTTGTCAACAAATCTCAAGACAAGAGCCATTTGTTCCCTTTTCGATTCATCACGTGATTCATCCACAATAATACAAAACTTAAAGTCCCCAATATCCAGCAGAATCTGTTTTCGCACTTTGTTTGCTAGAACATGTAAAATCTCCCTTTGTATTTGAGGTGAGGTATACTTGGCTGTCAATGGAGCATTAATTAGAACAACATCTGCAACTTTTTCATTGTAAGATGCCAACAGTTTGATCATTTCAATAAAATTACCACTATTTCTTGAATTAATAGTCTCATCATGTCCTCTAAAAGCACACCCCTGAAAAGCAAGCCAACAAGCAACATCAATTGAAGTCTTAACACGCAGCCTATTTTTTTCAATTTGTTGGGAGCTTTGAGCATGCATAACTTTATCAATATGACAAGACTGATTCATTAAGTCCGCACATGAGATAATTGCATTAGTATGTTGTGAACAAGGATCATCTCCCATGTGATTTAGAAAAGCACAATACTTGATGTAATGTCCCACATCGGTTGGAGAGGGGAACGAAGCATGCCTTATATAAGGGTGTGGATACCTTTCCTTGTAAGAGGCCTTTTGGGGGTAACCCGAAACGTAAAACCGTGAGCTCGACGGTGCTTGTGCGCGGGGCAAAGCGGACAATATCCTGCTACAGGGTTTGAGGCTGTTACACTTGCCACTATGAACTCTATTCCAACCATTAAAACCTTTGATTGTGAATGCATCCCAACCATGTCGTGCGCCGACCTTTGTAGTGAAAAGATAACATGGTAAACAGAATGCAGCATCTATACAAGGTGAATACTCAAGCCACGAAGAAAATTCTTTGAACCAAGAAGCTTGAAAACGTCGATGATGTTTTTCTTTTGAAAATGGATAGGAGCATTTAGGTTGATATGGCCCAGCTATTAAATAAGCTCTCTGTATCTCATCGACTTCTTTAGCTAAATATTCCCAAATTGGCTTACGTTTGCCTGGAACTCGTTCAAAAAATTTATTTTTGACCATAATAACATCATCAGTATGTTCAATTCTACGACACTTTGAAGGAGATTGCTCATGAGAAGGTGCACCAATTTCAGAAATTATGTTCGTAGGAGCATCACTTGATTCACTTTCAGATACTACTTTCTTTTTAAAAAACACATCTATACTTTTCTGTTTATCCTTGCCCATACTTTTTCAACCTACATGTCAATTTGTAGGTAGACATTTATATTAAAGTAGCTAAACAAATATCATATTTATGTCAAATGGATGAGGGAGCAAAAAGATTTAGACAAATAACAAAAAATCAAATAAAAGAGAAAAATATAAGACAATAGTTGATTATATTATGAGAGCAATACTATGTTATTCTAACTACATAGTGAGAAAATGGGGACATGATGAGTAATTGAGTACATAAAGGGACAACATAAAAAAATAAATTGAAGCATTTCCTAATTTTACAACAAATTACTAAGAAAGCGCAAAGCAAGTGAGATTCTTATGTTTGGAATGCTTATCAGAAAGGTTAGTGTCGTTTTATATGTTTGTTTTGATATATGATCATTAACAATTGTTCATTTCAATTTTCAATACTATGTGGCATTATTTAGTAAATAACTTAGATAAGTATGCTAGAATTCATAGTAAATTTTTTCCTAATAAATTTGTGTATTTACGATAAATATTTTGATAATTTGATATGCCAAAATTTTTGGCATGGGCTAAACTAAAATTCTGGCTCCGCCACTGGTCCCCACCCACTGTTATCCCACAAAAAGACAACAAATAAAAGTTGTTTATTTGGTGTTTTGTTCAACATTTCATTATTTTATTAAAGGAAGTGAAAGAACCTGACAAGGAACAATTGCAACTGAACAAGAATTGACACTCTGCAACACAACAGATGCTCACATGCCACACGGGCTGGCTGACGCTAACGCGAAGAGACAAAACAGTGGCAACTGGCAAAGAAGAACACTAAGACCAGCAAGATAAATCTGGGTGCAGCCGTGCAAGGTGCTTGAAAGCCACGAAGAAATTTTGCTTGAAAGCTCAAAATGAAAGAGTCACTAAGAAAGAAAAATCTTCAACAGAAAATATATTTGGATTCTACAGTAATGTCAAACAAGCACCTCGTTATGTTTTTATTTTCTTTTATTGGATAAATAAGTGATTGGTAATTTATTATGATTTAATATTATTAATTTTATTTAATATTTAATATACATCATCACATCAATGGTGCAGGTTTTTCTTTTGATAAGACTAAAGTGCCAATTCCAAAGTTACACTTACACGGCAGGTCCGACAATTTGGAGTAGGGGGAAGGTACTTTGGCTATTGATTTGAAAAGAAGAAGAAAAATAGAAAAAGGGGGAAGAAAATTGTGTGAAAGAAAATGTGGGTATAGAATTGAAGATAAAAATATTATAACTTTATTATATGGGTTAAAAGTTTCTTATGTGACAGAAAAATATCAAAGTCTTTTAGTCCCTGGCACATAACAAATTAAATTTAAAACAAAAAAAGGAAAAAAGCTTATATTTATTTAGATAGTGCCAAATTATAATTTTAGCCATGGCCAAATTATAATTAATTATATACTTTTTTATATAATTATATATAATAAGTAAAAAAAATTTAAAAATTAGCCAATGTCAAGGCACCTGCTGGTTATAACAACGCTACGCCACTGGCTCCAGACAATTTGGCATACCATTATTAAGAAGCCTGTTTTAGGCCGTAAAAAGCTTTATGGAGCTTACATACAAGCTTGGAATTAGTAGAAGAACCCTCTTTTTTACTGTGATATCCTATGGGAAATTCCATATATACATCTTCAAACAATTCCCTATTTAAGAATGCATTATTAACATCCAATTGAAACAAATGCCATTTTTGGGATGAAGCAATAGCCAAGAAAGTCGTAATTGTAACCAACTTAGCAACCACATAAAATGTCTCAATGAAATTAATACCCTCTTGTTGGTTATAACCTTTGGCTACAAGTATAGCCTTGTTCCTTTTCGCAGTACCCTCAGCATTGAATTTTATTTTACATATCCACCTACATCCAATAGAGTGTCTGCCTTAAGGTAATGGAAATATGGACCAGGTATGGTTGCTCTCCAAAGCTAGAATTTCAGCTTGCATAGCAGCACACCAATGAGGATATTTGACAACTTGATGATAATATTGAGGCTCATGGTGTGCAGAAACATTGAGAACGAACTTCTTCTGAGTTGTTGACAATTTGTCACATGCAATAACTGGTGTTGGTTAACATATTACAGTGATTATCTCTTATGTAATGAGGAGGTTTGGTTGCTCTGATATCATCTTGCTATGACAAGTATATCATCTGAACAAAAAGAAAAATAAAGAAGCTTGTGGGTTTCTTTAGTACTGATTGAAAAGTTTCAGAGAGAAAATAATGTCTAAATACAAAAGTCAAGACTAAAAACTAAAAGCTAAAATTCAAAGTAAACTTACAATCAGTCCAGAAAAGTAACTATGGGTCTGTTTGATTGTGTTTTGGTTTTTTTGTTCTTAAAACTGTTTTGTAGAATAATTATGGAAACAGTTGTTTTCTATGTTTTTTTTATTTTGAAAGTTAAAAACCAAAACAGAAAACAAAAACAACTCAGACATGTTCTCTAAATTTGATTCTAAAAACAAAAAACAGTTACAATTTTTAAAACTTTTTTAACAAAACAGGCCTTACCAAACGAGTTTTTTTGTTTTTTTGTTCTAAAAACTAAAAAACTGTTTTTGAAAACAGTATTCAAACAGAGCCATGATTTCACTAACTATGGTTACGGTAACACAAACTACAGTAAGCTAAAAATAAAAGTTATTTTTATATTTATTATTTATATCAAAACACTATATATATACTTTTTTTTGTAATCAAAACGCTATAATTTATTAGTGAGCTGGTGGATAACTAACTAATAATATGTGTAAAACTTTTTATTCTTACAATTATTTTTTATATACACCCTAATTATTGTCACCAGTGGCGGACCTATGTAAGTTTTAGTGTGTGCAAGTGCACACACAAATTTTTTGGATATATATATATATATATATATATATATATATATATATATATATATATATTATTTTTGGGTCATGAACAAAAATCACAATATTCAATTTAATCTCTTAAAAAAAAAGTTGACTCGTGATCCCTTTAAAATCCAAAATAGACCCATGTTAGTCCTTTTGAGGGATTAATGTGGATCTTTTTGAATTTCAGAGGACTATGATTTTGATTATCTGGGTCTATTTTTGAATTCTGAGGAATCACGAGTAGACTTTTTTTTTCCCTATATTGATTATTTTTTTATATTAAGT